CTCTTGGCTTGGGAACTATTTTATTTATATGTGTTTTTTACAAACTCCCAGAATGGTGGGGGCAGGGGAATCTTCTATTTTTAAATTAACAAGGCAAGAGAGGATGGGAATGGAAAGTGAGTGATACTTTCTGTGTGTGTGCATGTGTGTGTGTGCGTGTGCACTTTTCTGTAATTTAACCCCCCACACACCCATGAATTTCCTGTTGTCTGTAATGCGGATTACACTTCAGCTATTTTTTTTGGAGTAAAAATAGTTTTTTTTCAAAGCAACCGCAAGTGCCTGGGCTTTGCAGGAGTGCCTGTTGTGGGTGTCCAATAATTCAGCAAAAATCTCCCAAGGATATTTTGCAGGCCCACTGGCTTAGCACACACAGCAGCTGCTTTGTCACATACTCTATGGTCCATTGTGTCCAGATATTAAAGCATGCCTAAATGCTGGCAGACAGCATAGATGATAATGGTTTGGAAGAAAGCTGTATAGCCTGTTCATCTAATATCCACCTTGTGCAAAAAGCCTCTAGACATTGATGTATGTGGTAGAGTCCTAAAGAACGGCAACCTCTTCCCTTCTGCACCCAGTCTACATATAACAATGCATCACATGCTTGAAGACCTAGGCACAACAGAGAATGAACTGAATAAAGCATAATCTCTACCTCTGAATTTGCTTGCTTCTGCAAGTTTAAATTACACTTTGGAGTTTGTATTAAGAGACTGGTTTGTATTAGTACCGATCCAGGTGTATAGTTAGCTAGCAGGCCACTTGATATCTCCTCCTGCCTCATACAGAAGGCTGCTGTGGTCTAATATTCTCCTATTTCACATCTTAGACATGCACAGGCTTTCTGGTGTGTTTTAACGATCTATATTTGTTAGCCTGGCAGCTCTGTAAATAGCTGAAGGCCAGCCTCACTTGGGACATAGTTGTCGTTTAAATAGGAGTTTAATTAAACTTTTCGATTTTGAATAAGGATTTTAAAAAAGCCTAAAACTTGAAAGCAATCTCATTGCCACTCATTTGAGACTGACTTCACTTCTGCCACAAGCCAGCCTGACCCCCCCGAATGGTTCAAGTTAAAATACGCAACAAGAAGCAAGAACAAGGTGATCTGCTCTAAAGGCAAAAAGCTGGCCAACGTAGGAAGTACTTGCCCACCATCCCAGCACCTCTTGGAGGTTACTATTTTGTTTTCTGGAATCTGTTTCTAACTTTCAAACAAAGTCTCCAGCTGCTCTGCTTGGGAAGAAACACTGTGCTCCTGTTTGTGAGGTTACCTGATGCAAGGAAGTGTTTGCAGAGAGCCTAGAACAGCAGCAATGGTGCAGACTGTCCCATCCATCTCAGGTGAGGATAACCAGAATGCCCAGGGGTGATTTAAATGCCACTGTGAACAGTTTAATTTCTCGTGTTAAAAAAGAAGAGTGGAGCTCACCAATTTATGCAGTTTGTGTGTGTGACAAGTAAGGGAGTTCCATATCTTCCCCTATTGATGAAGGAGCTTAGCAGTCATAATCAAGCCCAATCAAGGGCACTAAGGTCAGGGAAGCAAGCAGAGCTCAGAAAGTTTATACAAGCATTTTCTGACTGTTTCGAGTGATATCTCATTTTTGCCAGTGCTGAAGTTGGGAGAGTTGTTCTGTGAGTGGAACTTTTAAGAGTTGGAAAAGTGTCTCTTCCTTGCAGCCTACCCTTGCAAGCACACCTTTGCTACTTGAGCAAACAGGTTTGGCACAAAGTTAAACCTGTGCCTCAGTAAATGTCAGACAAGCTGCGTGCTCCAACTTGGAGGATACCCTTGGTTCAGCCAGTGGTAGAGAACTGGCATGGCAAGGCCTGTTCTGGAATTATTGTGGGAATAAAGATGTTTGTTCAGCTTTGCAACGGACTTGTAAAAAGCAGGGTGTGGCAGGGAATGGCAGCAATGTGGACAAAAGGGAAAGGACCAGCAGCAGCCCTACTTATGGATAGATGAAGCCAATAGAGAATCTGGGGCCGTCCCTCATGCCCACTACACTCTACTATGCAGAAATGAATGCCATACTGCTGGGGAACCCACCACTTCTTGCAAGTGGCAGTGGATAGCTCGTGATACTTAGAGAGACCAGTGTAGTTTGACAATGAGCTTAGGAGAGGGATTGAAGGACCCCAGGGAGGCCTAGTTGAGCCCCAAATTGAAACCCACTGTGGAAGGGGAAGTGAGCTCAGGTACATATATTATTATAAGACTTCCCCTGCTCCCTTTTGGGTCTATATTTTTTTTTCCCCACTCAATTTCCTCCTTTGGAAATTGGTGGCCAACACGCCTGGGTTCAAACCAAAACAAGAAGCTGCCTTTTGAAATAACCAGTTCATTCAAACGTGTGCTGATAGTCACAGGAAACAAAATAAAGAGTAAGTGCTAGAAGCAAACCAAAAGCAAACCCAAGTACATATTTTGGCAGGGCAAGCAGATAGTATGTCTAGTAACATAAATCAGTGCCTTACAAAGAGGAAGAGAAACATTGCAGTAGATATTTCAGTGGTCTTAAAGAGCATTCAAAGTAATGTTTGAAATCAGCAACTGGTCATTTAAACTGATTTTTATGAATAAAAGAGTAGTGTAGATACTAAAACATAAAAGGTGGCTTCTGGTCCATGTCCAGAGCAAAATGCTTGCTTGCTGTGCTGGGATTCAGAGGGGAGAAAGAGGTGGAGGGTGTATACGGTGCCTCAGGGGCTTGGCTCTGTATTGGCTTGCAGAACTAGGCAGTGAAGACCAACCTACTCCCATTTTGGACTTTCAGGTTGATGCAAGTTTGCCCCACTTTGTATTTTTATTAATGCCTTTTCACAAACTTCTTTTCCTTTCTACTGTCCCTCTACATCTAATAGCTCTCTATGTATTATTTTTTATTCAGTGGCCCTGGATGCTGCATCCTTAGAAAGCAGACCCTCCACACTTGCAGAAAGACTGAGCCTTACCAGGAAGAGGAAGAAATGGAAAAGGGAGGACTTGATCTCTAATCTTCTTTAGAGCTCCCAGCCTGCAAAACAAAGGAATGGAGGGAGTGCACCCTGGAGGAGAGGCAGAAGGACAGAGAGGTGCGTAGAGATGTGCACCAAGAAATCATGCAGTTTCTGAGAAAGCAAATGCAGATGCTACACTACATTACTGAGCAAAACACCCAAGCCTTCCCTACTACCAGCTGTTGTATGATATAAACCAGTGATTCTCAACCAGTGTCCCTTGGCATTCTGGGGTAGGTACACTGAAATCCTGTCAAGGGTGATCCAGGGTGCTACACAGTGTTAGTACTGTTGGGTGTGCAATCCTGATTCGTTTGATGAATCCAGAGATTTCAAATAGGAATCCATAGTGTTAAATCATTCTGACCTGTTGTGGGCCTTATAAGCTCTTTGCAGCAGAAGAATTGCTCTAGTATTTTTCTGTAGTCACAAAACTAGCAAAAACTAAGGGCTGGTATGTTGCAAGGGGCGCTTTGAGTCTAACAAGGGATGTCTCAAATCTAAAAGTGTTGAGAACCACTGGTGTAAATAAATTCTATCATTCTGAGCCTTGGCCCATACACACCTGCCATCCCTCAAGGGACCAGAATAGCATGCCACATTATCTCTTTCACTGACACCTATTGGAAAATGCTACTAGTATGTGTACATAGAGCTGTGACTCATGCAACATTTTACACTTCATTTGATGTGGTTTTAAATGTTTTTAGAAGTATTTGTTTGCTTAGCAGTAATAAACAGCACTTTATTTTGTGAAAATTAAGACTTTTTTACTTTTGTCTTACAAAACAGATATGTGATCCCCAAAACTGGTGGCAGTAATGTTTCTTTTATTTCACAAAATATTTCTTAAAAGGCAACCTGAAGCAACAGCAAAAGGAATATTTAGTCCAAATTGTCCAGTGTCCGTTCCGTTTATTAAATGAATATTCAACAGCAATGCTGCACCGACTGCCCGTGTCCAGACGAACATGGTCATGTGGTATGTGGTACTGCCGACCCATCTGTGGCACCATACACAACACATTCAGGCGTTCCTCGTGCTGCTACCATGCAGTGTGGCAGGGGGGTTGACCCCAGGAGATCTCAGGAGTCAAAAAAACCTGTGTCGAAAAAAAGGTGTGGCATTGCACATGGCAGCAGTGCATGCTGCCCAAAACCAAAGCCTGGCCAGTCTTCCAGCTGCAGGAGCACTGCAGCTGTTGCTTCCCCGGCCCCCAGGACCCCAAGTAAGGCTGCTGGGGCAGTACGGCTGCTACTGTCCCCAGGCTCCCCTATTCCACCCAGGGTAACCTGCTGTATGCATGGCACAAGCGCTCCCCAGGGACAAGTAGCAGCGGCACAAGGCGTGCTGCTGCTGTTTCTCCCTGGGGAACCAAACGTCTGGCTGTGGTCACTGAGGCAATAGTTAAATTTCCCCTGGCTGCAGAGTAGGCTGACATAGGTAGCCGTGTTAGTCTGAAGTCAAATAGAAGGTCGGTTAGATTGCAATTTACAGACTAACCAAAGTAGATATATCTATATGTACAGCCCAGGCTTTCGCAAGCCCAAGCTCCCTTAATCAGATGATGGCGAAGTGAGCTTGGCTCACATGTATATAGATATAGCGACTTTGGTGTCTATGACTCCCTTCTGGTTTGTATATGGCTTCGTGAACCATGGAAGTATGAGATAGACTGGGTCCAGAGAATTGGCATGACAGCTTCATGAATGTGAAGGTGCCAGTCCAGGAAAAATGTCCCTACTTCCTGCTTTCAAAAGTCTTGTATAGCCAAATCCCTGTAAACAGGCTCTTCTTTCTGTATTTTTCCTCTGAAAAACGTTAGCAGGGGACATAGGGCTCCACCTACTGTCCTCCTGCTGCATGGCAGGACAGTACTGTGTTGGGCAGTATTTCCCTGTAGATAAAATTGTAAGCAAATAAATCCTCAGCTTTGTTCATGGGTTCTGTGTT